ATGGGTTTCAGATGAGAATATTTGAAAATACTCCTTAAGGGTCTCCCTTATTTTGGTGAATCCCAGAATAATGGGAGTCCTTAATTATCATTTGATTAACAATAAATTGCTTAACAAAAGTTTGGCTAGATTGGTAAAGTATGATTTGTGCTGCTAGATAAGTTGTACTATATGCGAGCTTATCCCTTGAATGTTTCTTGAAAGACATAAGAGAGGACTACAAGATAAGCTTGTTGAATAAATATGATGGTCCCATAGTTGTTAATATGCTTATAAGGATACAAGGTTTCATTATAAGGACAATTGTAGGTGACTTAACCCCGCTTGAATAAGATGTTGGAAGATTACATCATTCAAAGGCAAAGATTTTTGAAAATTGTGAAGGGTATGTTGGTTCCTCTCCGTCTGATTAACTATAAATTGTTTAATGAAAGTTTGGCTAGATTGACAAAAGTATGAATAGTTATGCCAGATAGGCGAGTTTGTCCTTGAATTTTTTTGAGAAAGAGATAATAGAGGATTGCATCATAAGCTTATTGAATATATATGATGGTCTTATAGTTGTTAATATGTTTATAAGGATATAAAGTCTCATCATAAGGAACAATTCTAGGCAACTTATGCCCGCTTGAAAAGGATGTTGGAAGATTCCATCAGTCAAAGGCAAATATTTTTTAAATTTGTGGTGAAGGGTAAGTTGTTTCCTCTCCTTCATGGGAAATTCTTCTTGAATTAGATGTCATAACTCATCATATATAAGATCCCGATGAATGTCCATAATAGCAGGCTGAGTCAAATCTACCATGGTTATTGGAGGATCGTGAGATAGTCAAGCAACAAGAGAAGGATTAGTGGAACGACCAGTGACCATGAGTTTTGGATTAGGCTGTGATGGATGAGGAACATTAGTATGAAATTATCTGGCTGTGTTATGTTATTGATCATATGGATGGTGAACTCCATTATGTTTTGATGGTATTTCCTATTGCGCAGCCTTCTCTAAATGTTGAAGTGTCTTGATGCTGTGTTATGTTGTTGATCAAATGGATGGTGAACTCCATTCTCTAAATGCTTGCTGCTCCTCAATCATGCATATTTGATCTACCAAGGATGGGTCTTGGGGCCTAGTCTTGCTTGATTATGACTTCCATAGTTTCAAATTGATTTATGATTTGACGAGTGTTAGAACGAGAAAATTCATTGCTACTTGTAGCACTCTTTGTTGCTACGAAAATTTTGGCAGGTTTCCCTGGCCTCTCCACTTGTTTTGAGGAGAGTTAATGGACTATGTACTAGGGTAAATTTTTGAAAAGGCAGATTGGCTATATATAAGATACCACCTAGAGATTTCACCCTCATTTAACAAAAAACTTCAAGATTTGAGTTCAAGTTCCTCATAGACTCAAACCCTTATGGGTAGTTGCCCCTTCCGATGATGGGAGAGCACTTTCAATTAATGCTAGTTGTTATATAGGCACTTAAGATCGAACTTATGGTAGGTAGTAGCGACATATTTAGATGTTTAGGGTTAAAATTTGAAATTTACTACCCTTTTACTTTAAGTGGATGGTAGGTGGAATGATGAACCCTATTTTATTATAGTCCTAATTGGTGATTTAAATAATTCATAATTTTATTATTTGAACATAAAAAAAAAAATTATTATTTGAACATTGTCAACTATGTTTACCTGCTAATAGAGTATCAAGTTCAATTATTGATTTTGTGAATTTGTTATACGGATGTTGAAACTGAGAGTTTGTGTTTTTATGATGAATATATTTTTAAGGAGGTTTCGAAGGTCTAAGGTGAACTTAAAATCATATATCTCGGTGGATTTTACAATTATGTGCTTGTTTATCAATTTCAAGTTTTGTCAATTTCGATCCTTCTAAGATGAGGATTGGACTTACAAAATAAATTTATATTCAACCTATGCAGTTTTTTTGAACCATAGATTTATGAGTTCAATGTGATAGTCAAAGCATATGCGGGTATTTAATTTGAAAATAAGATTTTGAATTAGCTTGCTTTTAACCATGCATAGCCTTCTCAATCTTTCGCCTTTGAGCAATAAGCACATTGTAGAGCACATGTGAGGATTTAAATTTCTTTTAAAATGGCGTGCATGCTTTTCAATGTATTTGTACTATACATTTGCTTGCATTTCGGTGCACTTGCACGGATCATACAAATGCTTTCCATATATTGACATGCTTTTCAGTGCGCTCACGCGATGCACTTGTGCATATTTCGGTGTATTTGCATATTTTGTTTGCACACTTTTACTTCATGTTAAATTTCTTCATTTTAAAATGACAACATGCTTTTTGGCGACGCTACACACTTTTTATGCCTTGATGCACTTCTCGAAGCGGTATTAGCTTCGTGCGGCTACTGCACGGTTCTCAAAATGATGTGCTTCATTGGGTTTTTGCATGCTTCTTGAGACAGTTTCATTTTTCTCTAAGTAGCACGCTTCTCGAGACAATGTCACACTTAGGTTTTAAAATTTCTATTTTAGCACGTGCAAGATTTAAAATATTCAAAATTTGATTATTTTGCGAGAGTATTTGCTATTGCAAGGCGCACATACATTTCATTTTGAGGCCTAGAATACACCTGTTTGCTTGGACATGTATGTGTTGAAGATCTGATGGAATTGGTAAAGGCAAGTGGGAATCTTTATATATTTTTCACATCGTCAAAATTTCATTTTTTGTATTTTTTGGATGCATGCATTTAGTTGAAGTCAAAAGTCCTATTTTTTCCCATAGGTGAGCTGTTGCACTTATTAAAGTCCCCTATTCTAGTTTGTATGTGAGCTGTCATGTTTATTACAAGTTGCCTGCCTGTGTTCGTTGTTGTTCATTTGAGGCAATGAATATTCCATTTTTTATGTTTTCCTTTTTTTTTTCCTTGATGTTTATTTAAATTTTCTTTTTCATTGCATTTTAGTTAAGTGTATTCCTTTTTAATTGTTTCTTGTTTAATTGACATTTAGAATAAAATTTTGCATCCTCTCGGCTTCTCCCTAGCGTAGGGGAAATTTTCGGGAGTACTGAAGCCTGACCACCATGCTTATACAAAAGCGGGTTAGTCGGTGTCAACTGACACTATGGCTGGAGGTCTTCTACCCCAACATACTTATCAGAAGTACGTGGAGTCTTCAATACCTGCATGAGCGAAAAGCAAGTTTCCTTGCTATACTAGAACTACATGAAAGGGTACTTAGGTTTGCAAGTTTTCCTATTGCGTTGGAACAATGCGATTGAGCAATTTGTGTTTTCCTCGTTGCATCGGAGCAACGCTAACAAGTACTTAATTTTGGGAATTTCAAAGTTATACCTTGTGCGAGACGGTGGCGACAACATGATGAGTTTGTGAGAGTCAAAAAACATAATGTTTTTCTCTTTTTTTGGAAAATATATTTTTGTCTTATATATAAGAGAAAGAACTATGGAGAGTCTGTGAGGAGAGAGAGAGATGTAGGAAGTGGTGAGCTCTCTGTTAGAGAGAGAGAGGAAGTTAGGTAGAGAAAGAGAGTGAAGTTGCTCTTTGTTAGAGGGAGAAAGTAGATGGGTGGCAGCTTGGAGGTTGTTTGCTTAGTGGAGGAAAGAGGTGGTTTGCTGTGTGGCCGAGTAGGTGGGTTGGCTGGTTGTGTTGGCAGGTCGAGTTGTGGAGGATAGGTTAGGGGAGTGTTGTGATCTCATGACAGTAGGAGGCTATTGGAAAAAGGGGGGCAGTGGTTGTGGTTGCTGTAGTCAACAACTGGTTGTAGGTTGGGGGGTGAAGAGTGGTATCAACGAGAGTGAGCAGGTCGGCAGATGCGTGAGCTGGTAGGGTGGGTGAAGGAGCTCTGGGTTTCAAGATAGTAGAAGTCAAGGTGGGCTGGGGTTCCGGTGCCTAGAGGAATTTGATGAATGCTGAGAATTGACGGTTGGAGGGCTATAGGCTCGGGTAGTGATATGGTCCTGAATTTGATGTCAGAAGTTTTCAATTCAAATATTGCCTCGAGATTTGTGTTTAAATGGATGTATTTTGTGGTGACATCATGGATAATATTCATTCTTGGTTAAGATTAACTTGATTCTTAAAATGTTGAACGCTTTTCATGTTTGCTTCATTTATATTTGGTGAATTTGGAATGTAACTAATCTATGGAATCATATTATATGATGCAATGCCAATGTTTAGATCATTGCATACTCAGATGAGAGTTTATATTTACATATTTGCTTATTGCTTACTGATTATTGGAAATAGCTATTTGTTGTATAAAATGTTAATGTTGCTTTTCAAGGGTTATTACTGTACCTAATACGGTTCTACAGTGGAGATCCAGTGCATGTGCCTTTCTGTTAGTCGCGTGATGAGTTGGAATGAAAAAGGTAGCATTCACTTTGCACTTAGGACAGTGCTTTGGAATGGAGAATGAGAGGGCGTGGTGATTTCTTTTGGTTTACGTTTTTTTTTTTTGAAGCAGTGTTTGCACACTATTCTACTAAAAGAAATGAGGCAGTTGATTTTGGTATGGATGAAATTAATCTGTTTTCTTTTATTATAGGGTCAGTAATCTCAATATTTGAACAAATCAATGGTCTAGATTTACTAGGTTGAGTTTTAGTGACTATGTGCACTTTTTAATAGTTTTATTTCTTGATGGATACATGAATGGAATAACAATTTAATAGTTGCGGACTTTGTTTGCAAAACCATGGAAAATTTGAGGCTTTTTTCTTCTTCTGATTGTTTCCAACAACTTATTAATGTGAGGATACAATATCTTCGTTATCCATGGACTGATTACATGGAAAAGTACCCTAAGTTGCACAATTATTTTCTTCGCTTCATTGTCCTACACCCCTTTAGTTTTTATTTTCACGCCTTACTAAAAATTAGATAGTTGTGTGTTGTGCATATCATTTATGACATTTTTGTATCGCCTAATTGTTCTTTTATGTTCTCATTCTCATCACTTTTATTACTTTCCATAAAAGGTTTATGAGTGGAGGAAGAATGCTAATCTTCAGTCAGCTATCATGATGGTGCTTATCTCTATCAAGGTAAAGTATTTGACATGAAGCACCTACTATTTTGTTGCACTGGCATGGAAAAGAAGAACCATTAACTAGATTGCAGCAAACAAAACAAGCGGTGCTTACTTGCAGATATGTGGTTGTTTGGTAGTTGGGAATTTTTTTTTTCATTGATTATGGTTTAATTAAAAGAATAGAATAGTTTGAAAATGTGTTTCCCAAGCGGGTCAAAAGGCATAGTTTGACCTAACCTAGAATGAGGTTAATTTGGCAAATTTTATCTAAAATTGTAGAAGATGTGTTAAATTAGTAGTTCGTTTGTACGGTTGCTCTCAATTGTTTTTTCTAGACATTGGATCTACTTTGAGATCATCATCCAGTTTGATTAGATGATGATGTATGGATGACAATATTTTAAAATTTTTAATGGCTCTATGAGAAGGAACAGAATAGTATTTGATTAATAGAATATATTCTTTTCGGTGATTGAAACTGCCGTTAAGGCTGACAAAACCTTATATTTTTTATGCTTTTATTATGTTTTGACTTGACTAATTGAGGTGTTTGAGGCTTTGCAATGGGAAATTTTAGAACTTGAAGAATAAGTTTGTTTGTTATTTTAAATTTTAATGTCACCATTTATTGGAGATACGTGCCTTGCATTTAGAATTCAGCTACTTTTCCTCATCATTTTAAAGTAAAATAAGAAACTGGATTGTAGCCTTTCCTATTGTGCTAGAAAACAATATTTTATGCAATTCAGCAATTGCAATGGAGTGCTATCTTGCCCGTTAGATGCCATGATGTTATCTAAACATTCATCATTATGATTAGCCTTATCCCACTACTTAGTGTCGGCATAATGAATCATCATTTTCAATTTGTACATGTTGAATGCCGCCCATCCTTTTCAATTTGTACATGTTGAGTGCTGCCTAGGGTGTAAATTCAACAACAACAACAACAACAAGCCCTTATCCCGTTGATGGGGACATCGACAAAAGATTTCGACGCATTTATCAGAGACGACACAGGAGATCGATGGCCATGATGGAGAGTCTTTACTTTTGATGCATTTTATGTATTAGCATTTTATGTATTATTCATGTTATTTCTGTTTTTCCGTTTTTTGTCCTTATGGGTAGTTGATCGCTATTGTGGCCCAAGGGGCATTCTAGTCTTTTGTTTTCTTTGTCATTTTAGAGGCCTAAATATATGGCCATCTTCTTATGTATGAGGTTGACTATTGATGAATAAAAAAAATTACTTTGTCGTTCTCTTTGTGAGTTCCAAAACTTCTCTAGATCCCTTTTTGAGTTCTTGAGGAGAGAGCACCTTAGATATCTTTGTGAGTTCTAATGAATGTGGTGTTGAGGTTAGTGATTGTGCTTTCCGCATACACTCCGTTCATTCTTCTTCTCCCTCAAGAAATCCCCACCCCACCCAGCTTGGAGAACCCGACCCCCTCTTCCCCTTCTTGTCGTCGCCCCTTGGAGCCCGAGCCGCCAGCTGCCGTCCTAACACCGGCCGGCCACCTTGCCACCGACCTCCCCACATCCGTCCACCACCCCTCTCCGCTAGCTTTCACTTCTTTGAAATTTGAATTTCAAATTTCAAATTCTTTCCAAATTAGGAAATCCAATTTAGGAAAGTTTTTATGATTGACTTCAATTTTAAATTAAATTAAATTGGATTCAATAAATTTTCTTTCCTAGTCATCACCATCTATTTGGAAACTCCCCCCTCATCCTCCCAAACCCCCTCCCTCCTTGATGCCGCCGGCCCTATGATGGGTCCCCATTGATTGCATATTAACTCCCTCATTAATGTTTGAAATCCAAATTGATTTCAAAATATTTTCCCTCCAAACTCCCTAAAATTGATTTAACTTCAGTTTTATTCTAAACCTCTCTCCTCTCTCACTCTCTCCATACCGCCGGCCCCTTATATGGCTCCCTCCCATTAATCCTCCATCAAGGCATTAATTGCAATCAATTTTGGGATCAAATTTCAAATTACTTCTCTCCTAAATTACTAAAATCTGAGAGTAATTTCAGATTTAGATCTAAACCTCTCCACTCCCAACCTAACCTAATTTCTACCAAGAAACCTAATCTCTCCTCTCCACCTCTCAAAGCAGTCCACCACCTTTCCTCTCTTTGGGGTTTTTCTTATTCGTGCTCCCTCATCTACATGCAAAATATGTATGGCGGATCCCGAAGTTGATCACGGATTCATACTCGACGTCTACGGAGACATCCACATCGTTCGATCCCCAATTCTTCGACGTTGGGTTTGGCTTTGACAACACCGTTGAAGATTACTTGAACCGAATCCTCCCCACCCTTGTGGACATCATCAACGACCAATTCTTGGACTACGAGTGGACCATCAACGGCCATCCACCCGTGCCACCTCCACCTCCGACTACCTTCCCAACAACGACGTTCCTCGGCTCGTCCGTCCTAGTGGCTACTTCATTTCTAGTGTAGAAGATCTTTCTCCGCTCAACCTAGATTCGTAGGGAAGAGAGTAGATCCTCAAGGTGAACAACTCTGTATTAACTTTTGGATTCATGTTATGAGCGTAACATTACTTCACCTTTGTATTTGATTGAATGTGTTTTGATTAATCTTCACGCAATTCTTTGCCTAAACAAGTGGAATATCGAGAATTCTTGTAATCGACTTTAAATTGACGCATAATTTTATAAAGGTTAAACTTCTATTAAATTCTCTTGATAATCTTGTGTAACTTCAAGCATTTATCACATCATTTCTGATATCAGAGCATGGTAGGCATGCATGACATGTTTAGAAAAACATCCTAGGGTCTAGCTTTTCGGTATAGCTTAAATATTGCATGCATATCATTGCGTAGTTAGATTTTATTCACTGTTTTCACTGCTGTACTTGCATTTCCTGCACGCATTTAGCAGAGTTTAAGTCATTCTAGCTAGCGTACGAGTGCTGCCATTAAAACTACATCGTTTCTAATTGCATAGGACAACTACACCCTTGAATATAGCTGCTGTCCTCACTGTTCCAGCAACATTTAGTCATCGTTTAGTGAACTTAAAGTCATTGTTTAGGTGCTGTCCACTCCCTCGGACCGTTCCAAAAAACCTAGACAACTTAAATAATTGCTGGACCTTGCTGTCCTATTAATTCATGCACTATTTGGAGCCTTTAGTTTTAGTTCTACTCAAATGAAAGCCTTTAGACTCTAAGGTTGACATCCATAATTCAAGTTTACCTTCAACTCCCTCTCTTGTCTTATCAACAAGAAGAATATCATAAGCAAAAAGCATACATCAAGGTACAATCTCTTGCAAATATCTAGTGAGAACATCCATGACTAAAGCAAAAAGATATGGGCTTAAGGTTGATCCTTGATGTAATCCAACTGAAATAGGAAAAATACTCGGTCAAACCACTGTGTTTGAACACAAGTAACACCTCTTGCATGCATATCCTTAAATGCATACACTAGGGTGTAAATTCTATTCTTCCTAAATTATTTTGAAGAACTTCCAACCTTGTAATTTTAGATCTACCCCTTTCCTTCCAATTCTCCTACACTAATTTTATCATCTTTTCTAACAAGTACATTTTCTATTTTTTATTGCACATGTCCAAAACACCATGTCTAATTTTGTCACCTTATCTTTATAATTCAGTATGTTTCTTTAAAGTTTTCTCTAATGTAATTATTTTTAAATTTTTCTTTTCTAGTTTTGCCATACATCCATCTTAACATCCTCATTTCTGCCACACTCAATGTTGTTAATAATGATTATTTTTATGGTCAATATTTCAATGCTTACAACCTTATTGACCTAATTGTGATCTATAAAAGTTACCTTTAAGCTTCCATGATATACTATCCTCTTTTTGGACATAACTCTTGAGGCTATTTTTTATGTTAATCATCAAAATTTAATTTTAGAAGTTATATCATCATACATATTTTTGCTTTTCTATGTAATATATAAACGATACTTAAACCTATCACACGTAGATATTTTTTTATCTTCTTATATCTTCTTATAATATTGAATGATAAATATTAATATTTTGCACACTAAACTTATTTGTTCTACTAATTTTAGGGCTGCTGTATTTTAAGCATTTCTCCACTATTTTGATTTTTTTCACTTATTTCAATGAATGCCTAATCAATTAATACTATATCTTATTTAAACATTAGACTTCTCAAATCCTAGTACTTTTGACCTGTTGCATGCTGATTAATATTTTAAGAGGGATTTCGTTTAGTCTCATTTAAAATGCAATCTAGAACGAGGATCAGCTAAGATTGGCACCTATTCTTTTTTTCTCATTCAATTCTAATGTGCCATATTTGAAATGTCACTGTTCTTATATTAAACACTTTTTCTTTTGATAACCTATTTGACTGTTAAGCTTTTCTGATGATGCGTCCCATGCCAGCTTTGTTTATGCCACTATCTCGCGTATAACTTTTTTTTGTTTTTAAGTTTTGTCAAGGACCTCAAAATGTATATTATTTGCCACTAGGCTGCATCAAATTTTGGTGTTTTGTATTCTATAATGCAGTGATCTGTTTGCTTGGCTTAACTCGTAAGTTGAAATGTTAAATATATATTGGGGGAATAAAACTTGGTTGTTGCTCTGAAGGGTAGCTTGCAACAGAAGAACATACTGGAAATTATTGGTAAGGTGGGCAAGCATCCTTCGGAACAAAGTCAAGACAGTTGCTCCAAATACTAATCAAGTCTGTTGATAAACTTCCAGGAGGTGGTCGATATGGCACACATGACATCTTGACGTATTCTCTAATTGTGGCTTGATGCTTTTATCATCTGCATGTTTAGTTTGAGGTCGAGGCGTTGATGCTTGTATTACCATTTCCATTGTTATGTTAACTACATGGTTCTAAGTTTCCTAAAGTGACCCCCATGAGAACGGTGTTTGGACAAATAAGGCAGTCCTAAGTTATTTCAGTTAGCAAAAAAAATTGCCTTTTCAAATAGATTTTATATTCAG